CGGGGTCCCATGGGCCCCTCTATTCCTTTTTGTTTTTTTTTTTTAAATAGGTGTAGAAATACAAAAAAGATATTCACAATATATTAATAATTAAAACTTATTTTCTATACTATTTTTAATAGGTTCTGAAAATGAATATCAAATATAATCGAATATATTCGATTATCTTAAATTGAATCGAATATATCACAAATCAAGTTCGATAACTAATTGAATACGAATGGTTGAATATTTTCACGAATTCTAATCGAATAATTGAATATTCGCTTCAATTCGATTCATTTACAACCCTAGATGTAACATTATTTTATAACATTTGATTTTCATTAATACTATTATGTTTTATTCAACAACTAGTACAACGCCCGTGTATTACACGGGTGCTTGCTAATTTTTTTTTCTTAAAATCTAAAATTAATGAGAAAAAATAGTTAAAAATTTAAATACCCTTTATACAAATATAAATATTATTATATATTTAGTATGACACTTTTTATTTGTGCGATTTATCTGTATTATATTATAATAATATTTTTAACTTACAACATATAACTACATTAAACATAAATATATCAATTGAGAAATAATTTTATTTTTCAAATAATTTTAATAAATATTATTATTTTTTATTACTATAAAGATAAATATAATTTCTTTATTTCATATATACAATATGGATGTCAAATCGAAGATCATTAAAAGATGATTAATTTGATATATTATATATGTAAAACCGAACGAAATACAAAAGTTATCAACTTTTAAAATACATTTACAATTCAATAGCTAATTGAAGGAAGCAAATCAAAAGTCAATGATATATTAGTCACCTCACTATGTAAAATTACAAAAAACTAAAAGTGATATTAAAATACCTAAGTTAGCTAAATAATATTTATGGAATGTCCGAACCTAGATTATTAATTATTAATACATCAATATTATTTGTCTAAACCTAATTACGAAGCATGATTCTTCGCTAAGTAGAATTTCGAAGCACCAGAAGCAACCACATAGGCTCAGCGTATTCAGGAATTATAGGGAAGATTGTAAAGCCGTTGAAAGAGAATGGTGATCGAATTTTTATTAAATTTCTCATTTTATCATATCCCATATGGGTTTGGGATTTAATTTTTGTGACTAGGGGTGAGCTAGCTTAAAAAAAAATAATAAAAAATTAAAAAATAAAAAAAAAAAAAAAAAAAAAAAAAAAAAAAAAAAAGAATCGAGCCAAATCATGGAATTCAGTTTAAGACGGTTCGGTTACTTTAATATAGAAGATCTTAGGCTAGATTTCAATTGGGTGTTTTTATGTGTTGTGTTATGATTTGATTATTTTGTGTGTTTCTATGTGTATAGGATCTTAGGCTAGGTTTCGGTTCGATTTTCTACAATTGCATTTCCATGGCCCAAAAATATCTTCTTTGGCCTGAAAATGATATTTCGGTTCTGAATTAAATTTGAATTTTGATTGATTTTTTTGAACATTATCAAATCGCCCCCTTAACAACCAGACTATCCACATTAGGCATTTATGATATACTATGTAAGTGTTCTGATTGCAATATTTTACCCTCAATTTTTGTAGTGGAAAGAGGATATTCCAGCTGAATTGTGGCTACACTGAGTTTTCAGAGTTTGGGACTACAAAAGAGCCTCTTAGTTCCGTGTTCTTGGCCCACAGTTTGTTTCATCCAAGTTATACCATCTATCTCCATCTCAGGTTCGATTCTCATATATGCCTACTTAGTCTCTAAGCAAAAAACACAAAGTAATTGCCTAATAAGTGATGATCCGACTCTTGAATCTCGACAGGACGTGGCACTAGCACAAACGTTGCTTAGGCCAAGCTCCTTCTTCGTTGAAGAGTTATCAAAGAAGAGTGCATTTACGAAAGAAGGGTACGGATCCGTGAAGAGGGTATTCATAGTGTGCACACAAGACAAGGTTATTCCCGTAAATTTCCAACGCTGGCAGATCGAAATAACTCAGGACAAAGTGAAAGAAATTGAGACTGTTGATCATATGCCTATGTTCTCAGAGTCTCACAAGCTTTGCTAATTTCTGCTTGAAATTGCAGATAATTATGCATAATTATTGAGTTCTTTTTTTTATTCGACAATGCAATAATGTTTTAGATGTTTCTATTTAATGAGTCACGGTCTGATAGGAAGCAAGACGAGAGTAATTTTTTAGGGGCAAAAATATCGAGCTGTCGTTTCGCTTTTGACACGATCACTCGACATAAATGGTGTTAATAGACGGTCAGATGAGATAATTTGTCATACGTATTGAACAAAAATGTATACTTATTCACTCAATTACTTTTGTGCCTTCCCTTATTGTCATTGGCTTCCCCAACTTCAAAATTGGGTTGTTACTAATAGTTTACTACTAAGATCAGTCTCTTTTATCTCTTAATCCTCTTGTGAACTTACAAATCTAGCTACATTTAATCTCAAATCAATTTGCATCCACCGCTGTTTTCCAGTACACAACCTCGATTTTCGACCAGCCTAAACTCTGTTGTAAAGCCTCGAGCAATGTTTACACAAGCATGGCGTAAACTATATTACATCATGCTTGTGGGTTAAGCCTAGCAAAAGAGCACACAATTATTGGGTCTTGGAGAAAATAACCATATGATCCGACCTAAAAATAATATCCACCTCATCAGGTGGGTTGTTCTCAAACACCCACTCCTGATAAGGCCTCTTCAGTATATTATCTTCGTCCCAGAGCACGAAAACTCAGAGAAACTGAACTATAGTTATCTTTCGTCACAGAATCTCTGATTTTTTAAAAAAAAGTCTACTGGGTCTCACAGACAATGTAGCGAGAGTCAAATCCTGTTTCAATTGCTAGTAAAATCAACCTCTTTTGTAAAACAGCATGTGAGCAACCCAAAGAAAGATAGACGATGGTAGGGAAATTAAAGTCTTTAGTCTTGAGTGACTGGAATGACAAAAACAGTAAAACCACAAAGTACCAAGGGTTCACTTCCAAATAGAAAATTGATTGTTAACTCATTTCAAAAACGAGATCCTTTCAAGGGCGCATATTGCACGCATGTACGCATTACATATGCAATCAAGACAAATCTAGAGAAAGTGAGCTCATCACACGCATCAGCAGCAAAAAATATTTGTTCAAACAGTAACTACACTAGAAATTCCAGAAAATGAGAAACCCAGGGTACAAAATTCAAAATACCTAGCGAATGTGGCTCATGCATGAAACTTCATTTCAGATACCTCCAAGTAACATACACAAAATGACATGCTCCTTATGGGCTTGAGAAATGGTAACAGTATAGATGCATGTCTGCTGATTATCTACGCCCAGTGCGGCTTTTCGCTCTTGCTTTCTGCAGTAAAGGAAAAGAATGGGGAGTCTCAGCCATGTTAGAAAATTTCTCGAGCAAGCCAAACGCTAAGAACCACTATTCTGATTTAATATCAGATTGTTAAACATACATTTTTTTATATATTCTCACCAAGGGAAAGAAAGGCCATGTTTGCATAAAGCCTGACTGAAACACATGTTTAATAATAACAAGTAGAACTTGACTCATTTCAGCCTCATAACAGGCTTAACTGCTCATTTGGCTCGATTCAATTTTTTTGCATCACAAACATCAATTTAGATTGTCTAAAGCTAATTTTTCATACTGCATGGGATCTTTTAGTCGTTGGTAAAAAGAGGGAGAATCCTAAAGTTTTATTCAAATTTTAATCAGATGTTACTCACCGATTGAGTCCCAAAGCTTGCTCCTGATGCAATGGCACCACCTGTTCACAAAGTAAAGGAACATCAGAGGCTATGGCATGTCGAAATATATGATCATAATAATATAATTCCACAAAGCTCGCGCACACACACACACACACACACACACATATATATATATGCGTGTATACAAAATTCAAGTACTCTATAGACATTAATCTATAGCTTTAGATAACTAATCTGTATTTATGCAGTCTAAAAGAATAAGTACCATGCACATTCATCTTTGACAAAACATAACAATCAACAATTCAGCTGAGTATGATGATATAATAATAATAATAAAAAAAAA